CCTCCTCCTCCTCCTCCTCCCCGCCCTCCGTCTCCTACTCCTCCTTCTCCTCCCATCCCGAGGCTTCCTGAGGGTAACGACGATCCACCTCCCCCTCCTCCTCCACCCCCGCCTCCTCCACCTCCTCCTCCTCTCTCCCCAGATTCCTTCTTCTCCTTTCGAAGCGCGGCGGCCTCCGAGAGACGCACTCGGGGCAGCTTGAAGAGCGGGATGGAGCCCGTCGTGACCTTCGTTGTTTCGTCGTCGTCGCGGTCGTCGTCGTCGTCGTCGACCTTCACGCCAGCGTCGTCGTCGTCGTCGCGTCGCCGACCTCCTCCCCCTCTCCCCCTCCCCCCCCTCCTCCTCCCCCTCCTCCTCCTCCTCCTCCTCCTCCTCCTCCTCCTCCTCCCAGTCGCCGACCTTCACCCCAGCGCCGAGGTCGGGCTTCGCGTCCTGCTGCTGGGGTTGCTGCTGGGGCTGCTGCTGGGGACGCTGTTGCTGCTGCTGCTGCTGTGGCTGCTGCGGCGGCGGCTGCAGCCACATGCCGCCGGGGTGAGTTGGCACCCGCATCCGAGGAGGCTTGCGCCACTCTCGGTGATGATGAGCCAGCGCGATGCCAGGGGGCCGATGCGGCAATGGAAGGATGGGCGGAAGAAGAGCAGGATTGAAGGATGGGTGGAAGACGGCATCGAAAATTGATAGAGGGAATACGCATGGGCGGGTGGATGGGTGGATGGGCGGTTGGGTGGATGGACGATTTCTGATGGCGGCGCACATGTAAAAGGATGGATGTGGATGGGTAGATGGACGAACGGATGGATTGATCACAGTGACGAATTCTACGATCATCATCGACATCCCCATAGGCAAAAACCTTTACGATCTAAACCCCTCTGGTCTACACCCCCGCAGAATGTTCAGGATCCACATTGCCAACTTTTGCAGCAGGCCCCCAGCGACTCCGGTGCGAACGGCCCCGCCCAAGCACCCGACTCAACCTGGCGCGGGCTCAGGCCTGAGTCGCCTGGAACATCTTCTAAGCCCTCTGGCCCCACCAGGAGAAAATCAATAGGGGCGAGCAGACTCCCGAAATCTCGCGGCGCGAAGCCCACAATTTTCTGGCTCGAGCCTCGGACGCGCTCTGAATCGCAACTTCTGCAATAATGCGACACTGCTGATTTACAGGCGTCGGCTTAAGCTCACCGGTGGCGCGGTAGAGCGTAGACTCGTAGGTCGGGCACGGATAGAGCTTCTGATCCAAAAGGCCCTTTGCTTCATCGACCAGAGAGCGCGCCGCGACCATCTGCGCCTTAGACCTTGTCGCCAAGGTACTCGGACTCTGCCGCCACGTCATGAGGGCCCCCCTTCATATGTTTATCCAGCTGTTCGGTCTCGGTGTTCGCCGAAGCGCGCGGCGCCGTGCGATTGCCCATCGCATCGCAGGCGTCTTTGTACAAAACTGAGTCCTGCGCAAGTGCGCCGACCCCGTCGCTGTTTGCGGCGTTGCAAGCCTCGCACATCGCCTCGGCCCCGGCCTCGCCCCCCCCCCCCCCTGGAGAAGACGCCCAGCTTCTCGAAAAGCTCAGTGTTCTTGATCGAGCCCCACTGATTGATTGATGGCCTTCGGCATCGCGCTGAGGTCGGGGAGACCGCGCTCGGCCGCCTCGGCTGGCCATTCGGCGGAGTAGCCGCTGCCTGTAGAGATGGCATTGCGGTTCTTTTTGCACATCTCGGCAACGGCATCGCGCGCCTTCATGCCGGCCTCGATCTTATCGGAGAGCGCGCCCATGCCAGCGGCCACTATCGCGCTGCAGATCATGACCGCGAAAGAGCAATTCGGCGACGAGCCTGAACCCGTAGCGGCTGCCGCAGAAGGGGAAGGGCGCCGCGCGGCTGCCGCCCTCGACGTCGGACTCCACCACCATGGACGCCTTGCAACCAGTGGACTGCCGATTCTTCTCAGCCTTGAACTCGTCCAGGGGGCCTCCTCCGATCACCGCGTCCACGCGCGCTTCGAAGCCGATGCCAGGGTAGAGCGAGACGATGGCCGGGGGCGCCTCCTGGGTTCCGAAGCGGTGTTCGTTGCCTGCGCGTCCCACGGCCCAGCGCAGCACCTCGTTGCACTGCAAGGTGGCATGAGCAAGGCAGGCCAGGGCCGCAGTCTAGATTCTAGGTGGTGCGCGCTTCATCTGTGTTACCCAAGTAGGGGACTTGATGCCGGTGTCAGCTCCGACGGACCAATTGGCGTGCTTGCCGCTGCCGTTGATGCCAGCGAACGGCTTCTCGTGGAACAGCACCATCAGATTGTACTTGGCTGCCTCCCTGTTGCAAGCCTCCATGAAGTACACGTGGATGTCGGCGGACCAATCGGCCAACCCGAAGATGGGCGACATCTCGTGCTGCCCTGGCGCCACCTCGTTGTGGCGGACCGCCATCGGGGTACCCGTCCTCACCATTTCCTGCTGTACCTCCACAAGCAGCTTGTCGACGAGCCTGAGCTCTGGGACGGGGGCGAAGTAGTTGAGGTCCGTTTGCTGGCCGCGTTTGGGCAGCTTGCCGAGCAGCGTGCGGCTGGTGTTGACGAGGTCTGGTCGCTTCTTGTACAGGTCGGCGGAAACGACGGAGAACTCCTGCTCCCACCCGAAGTACGATCGGAGGCACTTGGCACCGGACGCTAGCCCCAGGGCCTTCAGGAAGCGAATCCCCTGGGCGCTTACGGCGTCGTCCGAGCGCAGGAGCGGCGTCCTGTCGTCGATCGCCCTTCCCAGGTGCGTCAGGAAGGAGCACGGGATCCAGAGCGTGGTGCCCGCAACGATCGGGGACGATGTCCAGTCCCAGACTGTGAAGGCGGCGGCGGAGTGCGTCACGCGCAGGCCGCCGTTGGGGAACGAACAACCGTCCGTCTCGCCCTGGAACAGACGCTCGTGCGGGAGCGTCGCGAGAAAAGGCTTGATCGCGCTCCCCGACTTGAAATCGAGGTCGACCAGGGTGTCCATCTTGAGGGCACCGACGGCGACGCCTACGGCACCGCTGCAACCGCGGTACAGGAATAACCAGTGGGCAAAATCGGTAGAGCCCCTCTCCCGCGCCCACTTGAACATGCCTTCCGCGATGACCTGCTGGTGGGATCACCTGACACAGTGTCCTCGAGGAACATGTTGAGGACTGGCGCCGGAACGTACTCTTCACAGTGGCGTCGTCGAAAATGTGGGACGAGTCCAAGATGAGTAGAGCGCCAGCAGCGCCCTGTGGCGTGGCCATCGGGTCGAAGAGCGGGCCTTGGCGGCCCTGCGAGGGGGGGGGACGGGGCGGGCGGAGCGACCGGAGGCACGCACGGCGCCAGAGGACGCCGAGCGGACGCACGCACGGAGCCTGAAGCGACGACCGATACCCTCCCGAAGGCGGGGACACGCTCATTGCCAGTCCGCCAGCCACTTGGGCAACGGCCTATGGGCCTGTGGGAGGTGCCTGGCCGATCCCCAGGAAGGCACTCCCATGCCCCGGAGGGAAACAATTTTCGCGGTTGGGAAGGGCGCGGGGAGGGCACGCAGGAGGGAGAGGCCCTCGGGAGGCCACGGGGAGCGAACGGGAGCTCCAGGCCCACACCACGACGGGTCAGGAGGGCGTCGAGGTGTCCCCCCCCGCGGGCAAGGGGGGCCGAGGAAGTCTGCTGGGCTGGCACGACCGGCTTCCAAGAGGCACAAGGGGCTCCAAGCAACAGCGCCTCAAGGGGGCAACTCGCAGTCGCACAAGTCATGACATGGGGTTGGCAAATGCTGCGTAGTTTGCTGCTTGAACCGATGCGGCGTTTGCCCCGTGACTCTACAATGGCACCGCTGTGTCACAACACGCCAGGCCCCTTACGGCAAATACAATGTCAAAGTGGCTCCCGAATTCAAATGGACTCCTCAACCGCAGCCCACGCCCCGCGCAATCTGATGTTCGCGGCCTCCGCAAAAGACCTAGTCGTCCTCATGGTCCGTATCCTTCTTTCACTCCCCCTCCTCGGCCACCGCCACTGTCGCTGTCGCCGTCCCTCGAGCTGGTGGCACTAACGAGGGGGCGGCGGCGGCAGTGGCAGTGCCGAAATGTGCCCAGAGTTCAAGCTGGCATGAGGGTGCAAAACCGACCTGTCTGGCTCATGCTCATGCTCTCGGGGGAAGGGGCTGCGCTCAGGGCGAGGTTGCAGAACCGCCCAGCAATGTGATGTTGACCGAGCCTGCGGGGGGGGGGGGCCATCTCTTCCTGCGGCATTTCCGCTTCGGATTCATCCTCAACTGCGGGTGCACTTCGGAGAGCCTTCGGGCCAGCTCACCCGAGAGACGGTATTCCGCAGGACGGGTGCCTCCCTCCGCTCCTCCTCCCTTTTCCTCATCCTGCTGCGAGGCCGCGGGCGTGGCGAGGCCGCCTGGAACAACCAGACGCCCCCCCGCAGCGGAGTCCGAGGAGCTCTACGGGAGACGGCCACGGCCCCATCCCCCGACAGGGCCCAAACGCCTCGAAGGATGCCGTTGAGCAGGCGACGTCCTGCCTCAAATGGGTAACGTCCACTGCGACACTGACAGCGAGTCTGAGGGGGGACGATAGGGAGGGACTGGCTCAGGGGGAAGCATCATCGACCTGGAGTCGGCGATGCATCGCCAACAGGTCGGCGATAGGCTCTCAATAACAAGTCCGCACGCTCCCGGGCGGGGTGGGCTATCAGGCCGCTATCCACGATACACGTGCGATTGGGGGTCGATGCACCCCTGAGCCGATCCCACCCTAACGTTGCCCCACTGAGTCCTGTTCAGACTGGGCACGACCTGCTGCCGTGGGCGCCCGAGATATCAAGGCTGCCCCGGGCTCTGATACTTCGGGAGGGTGGAACGCCAGAGCTATCCGTGACAACTGCGGTCCGGGGTCACTCAGGTTCGGGCCCCCGAGGCGCGACTCTCAGAGGAGGAACAAAACTGCATAAACATAAACGTTCGACGGCCAGCGCGGATTTCTTGGATTTGCTCCTGACCCGCCTCCCTTGGCGCGCGGAGAGCGCCAGGGGCGGCGCCAGAGGCGCCGCCAGGGGGGTCCAGCGGTGATCCAAGAAATCTGCGTGGAGCGTCGAAGCTTTATGTCTACTAGAACCACGCGCGCGCTTCGCGCGCGCTTAGGTTCTGTCGAGTCACAGACCCAGGAATCCTCCTCCTCCTCCTCCTCCTCCTCCTCCTCCTCCTCCTCGTCTTCCTCCTCATCTTCCTCCTTCCCCGAGCGATACAATAACAACTTGCGTGGAACCCCTCTCGGGCCCATCTTGGGGCTCTCTTGGGCCGCCTTTGGAGCCTCTTGGGGCGTCCTGGGTCTCTCGTGGGGGCTTCTTGGAGCTCTCTTGGCGCCTCCTGGAGCCTCTTGGGGCCGAAAGCTCGGAATTCTACAGTGGCTTTCTCCCTCTGGGACCCCTCTCGGGCACGCCTTGGGGCTCTCTTAGGCCATTTTGGAGTCCAATTTTGCCGTCCTGGGCGCCTCGTGAACCGTCTTGGAACTCTCTTGGGGGCCACCTAGGCCGTCTTGGGAGCCTCTTCGGACGTGTTGGACGCGGTGAAAACCCAACAGGCGACCATGCGAAAAGTATACGTTTTCCCATAGGAATGGGACCATTTTTGCTTCTTGGACCTCTCTTGGGGTGCCTCTCGGAACGTCTTGGGCTGATTTTGGAAGCCTTTTGGCGCCTCTGGGCGGCGTTTTGGCGCCTCCTGGGATGTGTTGGGCCGGAAGCTCGGAATTCGAGAGTGGCTTTCTCCTTCTGGGACCCCTCTCGAAATCGTCTTGGGGTTCTCTTGGGCCGTCTTGGGGCCGTCCTGAGCCACTCGTGCGCAGCCTTGGAGCGCTCCCGGAGGCCTCCTAGGCCGTCTTGGAGGCCTCTTGGGCCGTCTTGGACGCGGTGAAAGCCCAAGAGGCGAACATGCGAAAAATATACGTTTTCTCATCGGAATGGCACGATTTTTGTTTCTTGGACCTCTCTTGGGGTGCCTCTCAGAACGTCTTGGGGTGCTTTTGGGAGCCTTTTGGCGCCTCTTGGCGGCATTTTGGCGCCTCCTGGAGCCTCTTGGGCCGGAAGCTCGGAATTCGAGGTTGGCTTTCTCCGTCTGGGACCCCTCTCAACTCGTCTTGGGGCTCTCTTGGGCCGTCTTGGGGCCGTCCTGGGCCACTCGTGCGCAGCCTTGGAGCGCTCCCGGAGGCCTCGTAGACCGTCTTGGGCGCCTCTTGGGCCGTGTTGGACGCGGCGAAAGCCCAAGAGGCGAACATGCGAACAATAGACGTTTTCCCATAGGAATGGCACGATTTTTGCTTCTTGGGCCTCTCTTGGGCTGCCTCTCGGAGCGTCTTGGAGGCTTCTGGGACCTTCTTGGTGTCATGACAGGCTTCTTGGAAGGCATCTGGAGCCATCGGAGCGCGTTCCGAAGCCGCCTGCGAACGATCTTATCTTGGACGGCGTCCGGCGGTCCGACGAGCCTCCGGGCCCCCCGGGGCCCACATTTGTGGTCGGGGTCCCGGCCCCGGGCCCCCAGACCCGGTGCGCCGTTATATGTATATGTCGTGATTTCTTCTTCGAGAGCATGTAGCTACCCCTGGCTGCCCACAACCCTGAGTATTCGGGGCTGTGACTGCCGGTCTTCGACCGCACTCGAGCCCGGACCTCACCCCGGCGGTCCCGAACGGGCTGGACACGTTCTGCCGGGCGCCCACGGAGTTCGGCGGCGGCGCGACGACGCGGCACCTCCGCCGCGCGCGCCGCGCGGTGCCCTCCCAGAGGTGCGTCCGCCTCGGGGAGGGGCCAGCCGCACGCAGCAGCTGCCGCGGGGCAAGGAAAGGCCCCTCGGTGCGCGGCCCTGCCGATCGCCGCGTGCGACGCGGCAGTGGCGACCCCCGTGCTCGGGCGCCCGCCCCCCCTCCCCAACGCGACCCCCGAAAGTCGCACACCCGAGGTCGCTCTGGCGAAAAAAAAACTCTGAACGCTCCCGCGGAGAGAGGGACGGACGTGGGCAGCTCATGCGAGGATGAGGGGGGGAGGGCAGGTGTTCAGCTCAATGACCCAAAGGGGTAAAAAGAGCTGGGCGGAGCTCGCGGGGGCTGCTGCTCTGAGCTGGCCGAAGCCGTGAATGTGTCCGGACAGGAAGTCTGAGTTCTATCCTCATGTTATCCTGCTTCCCTGCCCGTCTCAAACTGAACAAACCGAACGGTGACGTTGTGCCCCAGCGAATGTCAGTGCAGGCTGGTGGCAAGGCGAACCAATATTCCTGATCGAGACCACCGAATGCTTCGAGGCCGAGGAGCCTGACCTTTGCACACGGCAACTCCCTCGATGGTTGTGATGGTACTCAGGCAATATTTTCACGAGAACACCCGGTGCGCAGTCAAACGGGACAGATCGCATGGTCACACATTTGAGTCAGGCTAAGTCAGACATGACCCTCATACGCGATTGAGGAATGACTGGAGTAAGACTGTAAAAGAAGACCACCTGTGAGGACATGCAGAAACCGTCAACAAATATGACGAAACAACGGCTTTGCGGTACCATTCGACGTCGCTCGTATCACGATCCACTATGCACAGGGTGAGAAATCTCCGCCTGTCGTAATGAGCCACGATGCCGGCCCGAACAGCTTCTGCCTGGCTTCGAACACTATCGGCATGAAACATGCGACGCCCTGTTTCTGCAAGAGTGCTGGGGCAATGCTCCCACACCCTTCTGCATGCACGTGGTCAGTCTGGTCAGCTCGACTCAGAAGGAAAACCGCATGGGACGAATCGTGCTACTGGCAAAATCTGCATCGATCTGCTCTGACCAGCCGGCATGCTGGCATTAAACTAAGCATACTAACAAATACCGATACCGCGACTCCCCAGACCTCTCCCGGGGTGCGTTCCGATTAGGATTTCGATCCGGAACCAACTGTGGCGACGAGGGCGTCCAGGAGGCCCAGGAAAGGGGAAACGACGTTCCACCTCTGAGCATCGACCTGCACTGACCTTCCGGCTTGCTTGCTCTGAACATAATACTCTGTCTAGCCTCGCCAGCCCAACAGGCGTTCCGCAGGCTTCCGCGGCGCTGCGCAGGCCCACCCACGAGAGGCCTCCTCTCGCCTTTGGGCTCCCCCGCCTCGCCGCCCTCCTCGTACTCCTGACCACGTTCCTGCACCTGCTCCTGCGCCTCACGCCTCTCCTGGGCACCGATTGACGAAAACAGAATCGGGCACGGATAAATCGAGAATCTCTGACATCTGGCGGCTCGGGAGGATGTCTCGGGCGCCGCGGCCTCCCCAGAGCGTTCCGGAGCGCTGTGAGAGCGTTCCAAAACACCCTGGGACGGACTCATCCTCGTCCTAGCTCCGCCTGGCCAAAAGTGGTGGGGACTGCCTCCCACCCTCGAGGGACCCAGCAGCAGTCGTCATCGCACCCACAAATCGGATCGATCCGAAACGCCTGCCGAACCGGAATCGTGACCGAATCGGATCGGCCGCGCCGGGTTGCGCAACAGCGCCCGCATGCATCGGTCTGCAACGGATCGTCGGCACATCGGAATCGACCCAGATCGGGCCAGCCAAAATCGAGATCGAATCGGATCGATCGGAGCGAAATCGGCCCCAACGGACGCCCCCAAACTTGGCAACCCCAGCCCCAAGACCCCCGCATCCCACGCGGGCGCGCCGGTACACGCGCAGGCCGATGCCGCTCGGGTACCTCGCCGCAGGCAGGCGCTGGGGCGGAGGGCCGCACTCGCCAGCCGCCCTGGCACCAGGTGACAACACACACGCACACACACACTCACACACACACACACACGACACACACACACACGTGACAACACACACACACACACACACGTGACACACACACACACACACACTCACACACACTCCTCGGGGTCTCCCGCACTCGAGGGGGCGCCGGACGCACGCGGACCCCGTCCCAGCACGCGGCGGCCGCGCGGCCCTCCCCCTGCCGCGGCCCGCGCCGCTGGCAAACCCTGATGCCCCGCCCAGCTTTGGACTCGGATGGACGCGGAAGGCTGGCACCCGGCTGGGGATGCCCCCTCTGGCGAGGTGGAAGATCGAGGGAGGTGTGGGGGAAGACTGGATGAGGGATACCAATCTTGTCACGGCAATGCGCACTGCTTGGAGGCTACCACGCATTCCCAGCGACCTGGTATAAGCGAGCTTTCACAAGACACCGTCGATCGTCCCGGGGATCCTGGGGCGGGTCTGTTGGGTATCCCGCGCGCGCGGGAGGCCCCCAGCCAGACACCAGGGACAGCGAACGAACCAGGACCCCAGGCTCCCATTCCGAGCCCAGGGACAATCACCCCCAGGGACCCCCCCTGTGTGAGCCCCAGCCTGCCCTCCCTGCGTCGCAGCGTTCCGCGCCCCGGGTTCGCTGCTGCTCGAGGGGAGGTCGAGGGACTACTTGACAATATCTCGCCACGAATGGTGGCACAACCCAGCGAGGCGTGACGGGGGGGAAGGGAGTGCGGAAGGCAACGGAGTGGCCGGAGGCACGACGGCCGACCTAGTCGAAGGCGCTCGCCCTGGACCCAGACCCGATTCTGCTACACACGATGAATTGCTTAGGTAGGGAGCTGAACAGGACCCAGGCAGCGGGCGGTCCTCTCGGAACGCAGGCACCCAGTCAGCCAGCAGGGCTGACGGCCGGTCCGCGCCGCCACGTTCCCAGCATGACCCAGGCGGTGACCCAGGGAACGGGCCCACGGGTCTCCCTACGGCCCCTCGGGACCCCCCCCCTTTGCGAACCTCAGCCTGCCCTCCCTGCGCCACTGCGTTCCCCGCCGCGGGATCGCTGCCGGTCGCAGGGACAGCGCAGCATAATTTCAGAGTCTCTCGCCACGGCTGGTGGCACGCCTGAAGGGAATGGGGGGGAGAAGGCAACGTCTGCCTCCTGAGCCCAGCTCGGACGGGCTCCGGACCAGCGGGGCAGGTGAAGGAGCGGGGCCCGAACCTAGACCCGATGCTGGAGCTCATCGTGGCGAACACAGACAGAACCCCGGTATTTCCCGCTTCCCTGACGTACAACGGTCCCACATCTGGGACCACTGCATGGAAGAGGAGTGCGGCCTACCGCTCTCCGCGACGTCCCCCACCCCAGGACAACGCCGAGAGTTTCTCACAGTTCTCGCCACGATTGGTGGCTCCCAAAGCAGGGGACAGACGCATGGACCTCTTCCCGCGACATCCCCGCCTGTGGACGGCGATGGAACGTATCCCCTACATCCCTCCGCGAAACTTAACGCAAGCTTTCCCGCGAAACCCCGAATGTTCAATGTTGGTGCTGAAACACCAACTTCGGATTGTCCGACGGCCTCCGCACACCGCGCCGCGCGCGCAACTGAACAATGACATTGGGGGCGATAGGGGGGGTCGGCAAAACTGGGGTTACGTTTTGCGGAGGGTTGGAGGAACAGATGCGGCACAAGGTGCACCCAGACGCGACCCGAGCGGGTCCCAGGATACGGTAGCCCGCCTCAGGGGCGACGACTGCGCCCATCCCCCTGGCAATAGAGCCGACGGGAGCCCGCGTGGAAGCGCGCATGATTGCATAGGACATATATCCAGGGGGCCCAGTCACATCCCAGCTGCCAGTGTCCCCTGGACACCCTCAGTCCCACTGCAGGTCAGGGACAGCCTCCATCGAGGTGACGCCGCTGCGGGACCACATCCCAGCTGCCAGTGTCCCCTGGACACCCTCGGTCCCGCAGCAGGTCAGGGACAGCCTCCATCTCTGAAGTGACGCCGTTGCGGGACAACACCCTGATACCCCCTGAACTGCTGGACGGCCTGGGCACCCAGGACTTCGGCAGCTCCCCGCGGGGGATCACCAGCAGCTCAGTCAGCAGGGCCGCAGCGGGCACCAACCCAGCAGCAGGCCATGTGCCCGCTGGCGCGCCCAGCGGATCAGGAGCAGGCCAGCCCTGTACCCTGCACCGCGCGGGCGCGCCGTGCCCCTCCGATGGGGCCTGTCAAAAGCCGCTCTGGAACGATCGACCTGGCAGGCGCAGCGATCAGATCGGGACCAACGTCGCCCTGGCGGGCCGGCTCGATCCCCACCGGCGGTGGGGTTCGGAACGGGGCCTGGCTCTGGAGGGCGAGCGCGGACACGCAATTCCCTGGCCGGCAGCGGCAGCAGTGAGAGCTGCCGAGCTCGCGCGCGCTACAAACATCGACGGCGCGTGCGGACAAGTTGGCGCGCGATGGTCAATCTCGCTCATGCCAGTGCCCAACAAGGGGCTCAACGTGCGCCCGTCCAGGGCCTGCCGCGGGCCACGGCCCTCGACGCCCTCCAAGGGCGCGGTGGGTTCGGTCCCGATTGGTTGGTAAGCATTGAACCGCTCTGCCTCGAGCGACCGACACGATCTGCAAAGCGAATCCTCAAGACCAGGGCCAGGAGTCGAGCGTATCACGGCTTGCGCCAACCAGGCCCCAAGCCTGCCATGCCCTGGCCAATGCCCCAGGCAACTGGACACCTTTTGCACGCCCGACCGGCCAGAAGCCGAAAAAAGAACCGTGGGCGCGGCCACGGAATCTCACGACGAGTCCGCCAGAGCGGAAGGGCCGCCTGACGAAGGCAACGACACCTTGACGGGCGCCAACACGGCCTGCACCAGAGGGGACGGTGCTGGGGCCCAACGCGGCGCCGAGCCCGATGGCCAGGCCCCTAGGGAAGGCCCAGGGTCGCCCCGAGTTGCACGCGACGGGGCGGGCGGGGCCACTACTGCGCCAGGCGGGTCGACGCCCGCGGTCGCTAGACCAACCCTCACAAGCAACCCCTCGCGCGCACCCGCACCCCCGCTGCGCCCTGAAGAAACGCTGCCAGGCCCCCCAACGGAGGCCAGCATCGCCCGATCGCAGCACCCTGCGATACGAGTCGCTCTGGAGCGCACCGCACCGACGCGCAGCTCGCCGCATTTAATTAACGATGCTCTCGGGCACGCGCTGGCCAGGCACGATCACTACGGCGGCGCGCCCGACTTCTTGCTCCCAGGGGTGCCCGACCTTGGCCCTGATTAGGAGGAGGTGCATGAGTCACGGCACCATGGTCATGGTAGACAGGCTTCACATTTGCCTGGCCCCTGCAGGGCCTCGACATTCCCGTCCAGAACGGAGGATGGATGCCCCGACCCTACCAACTCCTGGCCCTTCACTATGCAGCGCTACGAACAGCAGCTTCATCGTTTTCCAAACTTAATTGATCGCGTCTCGGGGTGGTGTGGTGGGGGTGGGCCGTGTAAGATAGTAGTGCAGGTTATATCCCTCGTCCTGCCCTGCTTGTCTTTCGTGTCCGCTCAAGCTTTTTCTGGCTCGAGATCGTTCGAGCCAGGAGCGCGCGCTCGCCCCTCTGCCCCGCCAGCGCGGGTGCTCGCGGCGCGGGCGCTGTTCGTCGGCACCACGGCGAGGCGGTGGTGGCTCGCCAGTGCTGCCTTGCTCTCGTACATCGGGGACTGGGGAGTCCTCGACTCTGTCCTCTCGAAGCCGCTCGTGGAGCCCGAGGACGACGCGTCCCTGAGGTACACGAGAGAGTCCGAGCGGCTCAGCTTCTACGACTATCTGCGGGTGCACATGTCCAGCGTGACACGATGGAGCCGCTTCTATTGGACGACTGGCCCCCGGCGGGGGCAGGTGGCCCTCCTGGCGATGCGAATGTACCCCAAGAAGAAGAACGACACAAGGTGGATCTACGTGAAGCCGGACCGCGCGCTCGGCGTGGGCGACATCAAGGATCGGGCGAAGATGTCGAGTCGTCGACAGCCAGGCTGGGACTACGAGGCGTTCCCGACCCTCACAGCCACCGAGAAGACGGACATCCTGGAGAAGGCCAAGGAGAAGCAGCTCGAGGCCGAGCTGTATCTGTCCAACATCCGCGGCTACGTTGCCTCATTGTCCTGGTTTCGCTCTGGTCTGGTTGGCGTATGGAGCACATGGAACTGGGGGTCGACGGTGGGCGCCGCCTTCTTTTTCTGGAGGGTAGCGGTCTACTGCAACCTATGGCAGTGGATGCGCTGGTCAGTGGAGAAGCTCGAGGACGGCCACAACATGATACTCGAGATCGACGGCTTCCGAGGATATCTGCACGACTTGTACCATCGCGGCAAGCTCGAGATTCCCATCATGATCTTCACCGCTGTGGTGGCTCTCGGGCCAAGTCTCCTGCGTTGCTGCAGGCAGCGCCCCTCCCCTTTGCTCGCGGGGGCCTCGCCTCCAGTGAGCGACGTGGACAACGACGGGGAAGCGGGCCACTCGGTGACGGGGTCGTCGGACGAGTGCGAGCCAGCCAAGGACACGCAGGAGATGAAGGCCACGATGAGCAACCTGCTCGACGAGATCACCAAATCGAGGTCGGAGTCACCACGTGCCCCCACGAGTCGGAGTGCCTCGTCGGCCGCGTCCCCTGGAGAGAGCAGTCACGCCAGCTGGGAGAGAGTCCCCAGTGTCAACACGGACTCCAGCATGGACATGCATGTGTTCAGGATGATCGACCGGCTGAAGCGCTTCGAGGACAGGATCAATGCGGACAAGGCCTCTCCTGGATGCAAGCCCTTGCAGGACGCCTCGTCCACGTCGGCCACGGCGAGATCTACGACGCGCCCTACCATCGACCTGGGGACGAAGGAGACGCTGGAGGGCGCGGGGGTGAGCCTCGAGCCCTTGCGGGAGGCACTCCGGGACCCCAGGGAGAGGTTGCTGGCCAACCTCTCGAAGATCGACGCGCCGCCCACCTTCACCCTCCCAGCGGGCCTCACCTCCCGTGTGGCGCCCGAGCTGCTGGTCCAGACCTACGGGAAGTACGGCAGCATGGTGAAGTTCGCGACGGACTGGGTTCGCCTCAAGGAGTTGAATCGCAACCACATCGGCCACGAGATGATGCTGCACTGCTTGACGCTGGACCGGATGCTGGAGGCCTCGCCCGAGTTCATCCAGACGGCGGGCTGCGAGATCTCACGCGCACGAGTTTATGCTTTGAAGCGGGCGTTCAAGGACGTGGCATGCATCAACGACTGGAAGCAGCCCCGGGGCAGCGGGGCCAACAAGTGGAAGTCCAAGGTGCGCTGGGACCTCGCGAACGAGCTGGACTGGAGGTCTCTCACGGAGGGCGAGGAGGCGCTCCCAGGCGCGGAGCGCGACTTGACGGCCAGGCTGCAGCAGAAGGCTCTCTTCCAGAAGTATATGCAGAAGGGGGGCTCGGACGCAGTGAAGGAGGAGGACGAGTAGACGTTGGAGAAACTCTCCCTGTCTGTGGTGCCTCGCGGGGCCCCCCGCGCTTGAGGGAGGGGCTGGCGGGCTGCCGTTCCGTTCGCCCTGACGACGGCCACTCTGGTGGGCTTACTCTCCCGATAGCTACGGTGACGCTCCTGCTTGTCGCGACGTTCTTTTCGCGTGGCCCTGCGCCCCTCGGGCGGCGACGCCATGCCCGCTTTTCTCCATCCACACGCTTCTCCATCGTCTACCTCGACGGCGGCCACTGGCGCGCCTCCCGAAGCCGTTCCTCGAGACCGAGACCTTCTGCCGGATTTGCCGCTGCCGCCGTGGTCGGTGGTGGTGGACCGCGCGGGGCCGACGCATCAAGGCACACTGAGACATGTGCGAGCTCTTGCCAACAGTTTGATCCGATCCATGCACCACCTCTCGGGGGGCACGGTCGGAGCGGCCGAGGGCGCTGGGCCGTCGGCCGCGCGGGAGCGGGCAACACCGCTCCAGAGGGCTACTTCGAGGAGGTTACTGGAGGCGTGGCTAGCTTGGGGCAGCCAGGTGGCCGCGATCAAGGAAGACGAGGACGCCGCCATTCGGCGCGTCATGGCGGGTCGGGCCTCGCCATACTCAGGCGATGGGGCGACGGTTGCCCTGGGAAAGGATTCAAAGGGAAAGGAGGTGCTACCAAAGGGCGCGATGTGCTCCGTCGACGCGGAGGAACTGGCTCTTCCGGCGCCAGGGACCATCCCTGCCAAGCTCGTGGACATCTGCCCGCTGGCCGCCGAGTACTTCTCCGACGTTGCGGGGAGGATGCTACGCGAGCCCAGCAAGGCCATGGACGAAGACCTGAAAGGCCAGAAGGTCTACCGAGATCCGTCTCTCCGATCGAGGGCGTCGCGTCTCCGCCTAGCCGAGAGGCTTTGGGATGCGGGGATGCTCGGGACCACCGACGAGCTGGTCGAGGGGGTCTCGCTTTTCGGAGTCATCAAGAAGTACCTGCAGGAGGAGGGGGACCCCCTCAGCCCCGCCAGGCGCCAGGTGCGCGACATCTGGGACCAGAGGCGGGCCAACCTCCGCTGGCAGAGGCACCCGTACGTGCCCCTCGGCAGCCCCGCGACCATTGCTCACGTGGACCTTTCCAACCTGAGCGAGAGGGACGTGGTCTACACTGGCGTGGGCGACATCCCGGACATGTTCTATCGTTTGGAGACGCCGCCCGATGTCTGGCCCTACTTTGTCTTGGAGGAGGTGCCAGTCCACGAGTTCGTCGACTACATGAGGACCAAGGGGCGGGACTGCGTCATCCCCGATGGCGGGCCCTTCCTGGCGCTGAAGGCCCTTGTCATGGGCTGGTCGTGGGCCCCGTTCTTGGCCCACTCTACGCTGCAGGCCTGCATGGCGCGCGGGCTCGGGGAGGACTCCGTCGGCGCGCGTCTGGTCTATGGGGCTCCGACGCTTCGACTGACCGGGCCCGAGGGGTTCGAGTCGGTGAACTGGGCGTACATGGACGACTACGGGGTCATGGCCACGTCCGCCAGCGCGCAGCAGCCGGTGAGCGAGGTCGTGAGCGGACTGACGGCCCGAGTCAAGCACTACTTGCGGCAGGTCGGGCTCCCCGTCCACAAGGAGACCGAAGGCGAGGGGCTCGAGTCGCTGGGGGCGGTCATCCGAGGCCGACCCTACTCCGTCTCAGCAGAGACCGACCGCACCTGCGGCCTGGCTCTGGTGACGCTGCGGCTGGTAGAGCGGACGCACTGGACCGCGGAGCTCCTCGAGCGCGTCGTGGGGTTGCGGGCGCGGGCGGCCATCTTCCAGCGCACGGGCCTCGCCATCTTCGACCAGGTGTACCACGAGATGAGACGTCCCGAGACCGCCAAGACGCCGTTCCCACTGACGGACGCGGCGAGGTGGGAGCTGACTACGATGGCATACTGCGCACCCCTCTTACGTACAGATCTCGAAGCTCCGTGGCTCTCGCAGGTGTTCATGACGGACTCCAGCGACACGGGCTACGGAGTGGCGGTCACCGACGCCTCGCTGGAGGAGATCAGGAAGGACGCCCGTTACAGCGAGATGAGGGGCTGGACGATCGCCACCGGGGATATCTACACAGCCCAGGAGGAGGACGCCTGGCCCCCCCACGCTGGGGGGTGTGCCTACGACGTCGACGAGCTTATCGAGGCCTCGACTGCACCGCCGCCGCGGGCAAGTCGGAGGGTCTACCGGGCGCTGCACCTCTTCGCGGGCAGGCGCCGGGAGGGGGATCTAGAGGAGGCCATCCACTCGCGGGCGGAGCGCGACGGCTACGAGGTCGAGGTCTGGTCCATTGACGCGGTGATCAACCCGAAGCACGACCTCACCAACGACGAGTTCGTCAGCCTGATCCTGAGCCTGGCGCGCGACGGGTACTTCCACGCAGTGATCGCCTCGCCCCCATGTTCAACTTGGAGTCGGGCTCGCTTCCTGGGGAAGGGGCCCAGGCCCTTGCGGACACGCCTCGAGCCTTGGGGGCGGAGCGACATGTCATTCACAGCCTTCGAGCGCCTCCGCCTGGACCTAGGGTCGCGCCTTTTGCTGTCGGCCATGCAGGCGGTCCGCGAGGTATGTCGAGCTAGAGGCCGGGGTCTTGATGGGGCACCCTGCGGACCCAGAGGAGGACCCGTGCCCGTCAATCTGGAACCTGCCCGAGATGGCATGCCTCCTCGAGGAGACGGGCGGGAAGATCAATCGGATCGACCAGTGCCGCTACGGAGCCCCGTCGATGAAGCCGACCATGATTGGCATATTCGGGTTCTACGACGACGCACTGGACCTCGCCGCGGACCGTCTCTGCTTGAGGTGCAACCACCGAGGGAGGCATCAGACAGTACTCAAAGGTCGGGCGGAGCGAGGCCGTCCCGATTTCTGCACCGCCTCCGCCCAGGCGCACCAGCCGCCGCTGTGCGCCGCGCTGGCGGAGGTGATCATCGAGGCGTCCGCCCGCATGACGAAGGAGATGAGGGGCCCCGATCCGACGGGCTCGCGCGTGTCTCCATCCACTTCGTCCTTCGGCCGAGGCCGGGAAGGGCGAGGATCGAGGTGAGGCGGGGCGATCGAGTCAGAGTCCCCCCGCTGTCCCCCGCCTGGACGCCGATCGCGAGATGGCGGCCACTCTACTTCGGGAGGTGGAGGATCACGGAGCACACGAACATCAACGAGACGCGGGCCGTGGTGGGCCTGCTGCGACACCTGGCCAGATCATCGCGGATGTGGAGGCGGAAGGTCCTGATCCTCACAGACAGCACGGTGGCTCTGGGGGCCCTGGGCAAGGGCCGCTTGAGTTCACCAGCCCCGCTACGCTTGTGCCGCCAGGCGGCGGCGATCACCATGAGCTTCGCGATTCATGGGTACTACCGCTACGTCGCGTCGGAGCTGAACGTCGCCGACGGCCTCTCTCGCGGGGGCTTCCTCGGCGCGGCGCCCGAGACGGTAGCAGCTCACAGCGACCGACGCCCCGCTCCAACGGACAGCCGAGGTCACGATCTACGCGACGTGGGCCGCGCCTGTACGGGATACGCTGGTGGGTAGCCGCCATGGCATTGGAGGCAGTCCACCCTGTTGGAGCGGTTCGCCCGAAGCCACCCAGGGCGGGAGACATCCCCCTGCAGAAGCGAGGGCCACGGGCGTGGGAGAACTACGAGAAGGAGCCGCACCTGGGCATCAGCGAGGGCGGCTTCACAAGGCAGCTTACCCACTCCGTGGCGGACGTCACCGCGGCGCAGTGGGCCCCGAACGTTCGAGACTTTCTTAGCCACTGTGTCGACAAGGGTTGGGAGCTGCGGTCCGCGAGCGCCGTGGACCACGCCCTGGCCGACTACATGGACATGAAGTGTTGCATGGACCGGCTCCGCCCTACGTGGGGGACGATCGTCTTGTTCGGGCTGCTGGTGATTTGGCCTGAGCTGAGGAACCAGCTTCCCCTAGCCTTGCGAAGCCTGAAGAGCTGGCAGAGGCTGGTTGTCTCTGTGGAAGGGGGTCCTCTGCCTGAGGAAGCTGTCTTCGCCATCGCCATATACTTCTTCGAGGCGGGGCTCCTGGATGAAGCCATCTGGACCCTTGTGCAGTGCGACGTCTACGGGCGGGAGCAGGACATGGAGATGCTACGCGAGGCCGACATCATCTGGGATGGCCGATGCGTGGGCTTCCTGTTTGGCATCTCGGCCCGAGGCGAGGAGGGCAAGACGGGCAGCAACCGAGGGGTCGTCATCCGCCGCGGCACGGTCGCGAGCCTCATCCTGGCCCTGAAGGCCTTACGGACACCTACACCCAGCTCTGCAAGAAAGGATCATGTGTGCCGCTGACCCAGAAGGGCCACTGCGCGGAGCCATCACGAATGACGGACATCAGGCTCCACAACGCCCCCGTGGCGAGCAGGAAAACCGTCTGAGTCTGAGGGTGCCCGCGGAAGCAATACAGCGTGTGCGGGCCCAGGTGCGTATGCGCACCCTGACTGTTGGATACACCTGGAGCCGAATCCTGCCCCCCCTAGTCTGGGACACAGCCCTCGCCACTACGAGGGGCCGCTCGCAGCAGACACTTACGGACAACGACGTCGCGCTGGACGGCTTCCGCGCGCTTACCCAGAGGTGGGACTGACGCTCCGATCGCACCGTGGAGGATGCAACAGCGACCCTCAGCCACGCTGCTCAGGACGCTTCCCAGGCCTCCTCAGCAGTCATAACCCGCCCAAATCCCATACGGAGATCTGCACGCCAACCTGCAGGAATGGGTCATGGACGCAGCAGACCCCCTGGGGCATATGCACTCTGCGATCCTGCTGGGAGGACAGCACGACGAAGGCCACGCAGGTCCTTCCCGCACGGAAGGGAGGCCGAGCCCTGCGGCCGCCCCCACACCAGCACAGCAGGGGACCGAGGCAGCCCCCCCCCCGCAGACGAGGCCATGACTCCGACCCGCCGATGGACCCCGACGACGTCACCGGGGTTGACGCCAGCAGCAACAGAGATGTCCACGCACCCGGGCCGCAAGCCACGGCCCCAGAAAAAGCGTCAACCCACACGAAACAATCCAGGAGTGGATGCACGATCGACTACGAGCGGCCGCAGCCACCAAGGAAAGGCAGGAGACGGACTATGACAAGCACAACAGGCCACAACAGAAGACGGAACTTGGCACCTTCCAGAGCGCGGCCCGCAGCGAGATAGATACGGACCCCGAGGGATAAGCCTCGCAGCGATGGCCCAGGAGCGCGAACAGGTTAGACAGGACTAGGAAGAGAGTGGGTTGGGAACCATCTCACAAGCCCCTCCAGACGATTCCGTGAGCGGGAGTGCTGCCCAGGCAGTCTGTGCGATCCTCCAAGACGCGACGGGGCTATGACCGGCAGTGCTAGTGTGCGTACGCACCCACTTCCACGCCATGCTCTGTCCGCGCCTGGTACTCAGAGGCATCGACGGAGCACCGTTCGACATACTTGCGCATTGGCTCAACAGAGCAGGAGCAGTGACTCCATACCTACTATGCGCACTGATGCACAAGGCCCGCTGCAACGACAAACCCCAATACACCCGTACGGGTTTCAGACCGACCTGCTTTTGGAGACACGGTGAGGTCCCTCGCAGGATCCATCACCACCGACGCGCGTGACGCACGGGAAAGTGCCGAGCTTCTCATCGAATCACCAGCGAATGCAGTGCGCCGGGCCAGACCCCGCCATCCACGACGCAAACCACTTCATGTAGCGACGACGTGTGCCCAATCTGCCAGGAATCGCTCTCGTGTGTACACAAGATTCAGGGCAGGTGCCTGCTGGCGAACAAGGACCACCAGGCCGCGGGACAAGCCACCTGCCCGCTCTGCAGAGGCGGAGACAACGGACCCAACCTGATCGCGGCCGTTGCCAGTAGTGGAGACCAAAACATGGACCCTGTAGCAAACCTAGCCCCTGCGAGCCCAAACGCGACTGGCATCAGCAACATTCAGCTAGAAGCCCCCATGACCATCGACGAACTCAGGGACGCTGTCAGGATCCTGGGGCCCGTCCTAGCAGCCCCGCCTGACCTTGTCATCACCACCAGAGGCCGACCTAGGCCAGCCGCCCGCCTCGCCTTCCAAACGCTGACGCCCCGAGACCAGCAGGCCATTGCCCGCCTGGTTCATTTCATGAGCGACGGAACACTAGGCGGCACCGGCAGCGGCCTGAGCGATAAGAAAGACCCTAAGCGCATAGGAGCCGCTAGCGCAGCTACCAACCGGCCACATCCACCTGCCACACCCGCCCCCCCAGCTCCCCCCAAGACCACCATGCCTAAAAACGAAGAATTCCCGCTCGTCACAACCACATCATCATCATCCTCCTCCTCCTCCTCCTCCTCCTCCTCCTCCTCCTCCTCCCCATCATCATCATCATCATCATCATCATCATCATCATCATCATCATCATCATCATCATCATCATCATCATCATCATCATCATCATCATCATCATCATCATCATCATCATCATCATCATCATCATCATCATCATCATCATCATCATCATCATCATCATCATCATCATCATCATCAGCAGCAGCATCATCATCATCATCGTCACCACCATCATCATCATCAGCAGCATCAGCATCAGCAGCATCATCATTATCATCATTACCATCAGCATCATCATCAGCATCAGCATCAGCATCAGCAGCATCATCATCAGCATCATCATCAGCAGCATCATCACCATCATCACCATCATCATCATCACATCATCATCATCATCATCATCAGCATCATCATCATCATCATCATCATCATCATCATCATCATCATCATCATCATTACCATCATTACCATCAGCATCATCATCAGCATCATCAGCAGCATCATCATCAGCAACAGCAGCAGCATTATCATCAGCATCATCATCATCATCAGCATCAGTATCATCAGTATCACCATCAGCATCAATTTCAGCATCAGCATCAGCATTAGCATCAGCATCACCATCAACAACATCATCAGCAACAACAGCATTATCATCGCCATCACCATGATCCCGTTATTCATCCTCGCCATCCTCTTTCAGTTTTTCCTAATCACCCCCCTCGTGCCCCTATGCCACTCCTTCTCCTCCTCCTCCTCCTCATTATCCTGCTCCACCCGCCGCCTTCTTCGTGTCACTATTTGCCTCCCCGTCCAAAACTTCATCCCCAATCACCCTCATTCTCAGCCTCATGCTCATTCTAATCTCGGCACCTCAAAGATGGGGCCCTGAGTGTCGAGTAGGCTACGCACAGCGAAGACTCAACCCTGAAGCTCTTTCCTGCCCTTGGGGCCCCAAACTTCAGGGCTCCATATTGATGATGAGAAAAAACATCAAGATAAACATTTGGAGCTCCGAGAGATCATGCTCAGGCGGTTGTTACTTGTTGTGAAGCTACCACTCCCTCTCCCGCCCAGCCCCCCTTCTTCACCACACAACGGACCACCTCCGATGGTGGGCCCCTCGTCCTCCTCTTCCTCCTCCTCCTCCTCCTCCTCACCCTACTCCTGCTCCTCATCCTCCTCGTACTCTTGCCCCTCGTGCTTCCGACGAGACACAGACAGAAACAAAGAAAGAGACAGAAAGAGGGTGAAAAGAGAGGAGTCAAGGAGGAAACGGGCGGAGGATGCAGGCGAAGAAAAAGAGATATGATCCTCCGTGCCGCCCGTCGGACCTCCTCCCCCGGCGGGGTTCACTCCGCGCCGTCGGCGCCAGGCTCGCCAGCCAGCAACCGCCGGTCTGGTTGCGACAGGACGAACAGTGCCTGGACACCACGGGGCCGGGGAGTTAGAAACTGTATAGTCGGACCTAGGCCAGAAGAACACCCTTCAAGAAAATGATGCCACACGCAGGCCAAAACACCCCAAATCATAACATCATTGACAGTGCAACTTCCGATGGTGCCAAAGAACATGCAACAAACACGAAAAACTTGAGGGTACCCTGAACGAGCCGACCTCGACCTGATGCCTCGGCCCGACTGTGTCTCAGACCTCTGGAAAACTGTGTTTGCTCAATCCGGGCGTTTTCCCTTGGGCCGTCTTTGGGCCCTGGGACATCGAAGACGGATCGTGGACGAAAGCTGTCCCCGGGGAAAGGGTCAGAACCCGCGGGGCCTCGGATTGAAGACGCGACACAACATATGATGTTGGATGCATGGGAAAGATAAGCGGCCGCGTATGAGGCCTACCCCCACCGCCAATCGTTTTGGACAAGCAAGTGTTCACCAAGGGGGGGGTCAGGATTCGCGAGCGGACACGAGCGAAGCGAAGCCCCGCACTGCACCAGGTCTCTGCCCTGTTTGGTTGCGACAATTCGTCTGGATCTCAAGTGACAGGTGTATGGATGTCTTGTGTCATCTCGACAGAGGTTCGGCTGAACTTCAAACACTTGCATATCGCTGTGAAGTCTCGCCGCATGTGTGATAATACCACGGAGTGTTTCATGAGCTTCCCGTGGGCGAAACTCTAAGATGTGTTTGGTGCACCTGCTCTACTTGGGATCTGAAGCAGGGTCTTGTCTAGAACACCGTTAATATCCGTGCGCCTCCGGGCGGGGGCAATCAACCAACACTAAATGACACATGGTTTAGCCACAAGCGAAATTTCGCACGAACCCCTCGCGCCAACGCCAAAACGCTCGTGCGAAGAGCACGCGCGCAACCCGCCATCCCCAAACTTCGACCCACAATTCCGAAATGCCACATGCGTAATGCATCCATGAAATTATGCCGCCACGGCCAAGGCCCCGCCCCTGCAATCAACGCACGCGGTCGCCCTACGGACCGCGGGGCGTTGATAATCACTTGGCCGATGCGCCCGCGCTCCCCTTGGGATGGCGATCTGCGGGGCCCTTCGACCGTTGGCGCAAAGGGGACCCTCTGGGCCACCAAATCGCGCGAGGCCGACTGACAATCGCAACGCAACTGGGTCGCGGGACTCGCGCCGCTGCGCCTCTGGACCGCGAGGCCACGAGGCAACCGCGCCATCGGAACTCGGCCAATCTGCTCCTGGGCCAGGCCAGGCTGGGCAACGGACCACTTGCCCAGAGGGCCGCTTGACCGCTGCGCCATTCGACCCCCCCTGGGAGTAGGGCCGCCAAGCAGATGGCCCCCCTGGCTTGCCGTGGACCAAACAAACCCGCGCCTACTGGGCCACTGGTGCACTGGGCCGCTGGGCCACATGGCTGCTGGCGCATTCCTGCAGTAGGGCCCCTTGCCAGAATCTGCAGCAGAATTCCAGACCCACCGCTCTCCGCTCCAGTGCATTTGAAGCGCGCGGCGCAGCGTGACATTCTGCCACCGAACTGGCGGGCGCCGCGCCACTGGCAATCGCGCCACAGCGCCAGCGGTAGCGTTCTTCTGACCGACAACCAGGGTTCGGGCCCCTGGGCCACTGCGCCAGCGGGCCAGAAACAATGCGACGCACGATGAAGTGCCAGGGTGGCCACTGGGCAACTGGGCCACTGCGCCACTGGGCCGCTTGAGCACTGACCCATTGGGCAAAAGAGCCAGTGCGCCACGGGGCTGCTGAGGCGCATGGCAAGCGCGGCCGCCAGACCTCTCGGCCGCCGGCCAACGCCGCGCCGCTCGCCCCACGGGCCGCTCGGCATATGAGGCGGAACTTGCCCGCGGGGGGGGGGCGGGTCAGGGGGGCGGGGCGGGGCGGGGGGCGCCGGGGCGAATGCCCGTTAGGCCGATCGGCGCCGACGGCGCTGGGCCGATCGGACAGACTACTGGCATCGGAAAATGGCAAGTGGGGCAACTTGGCACTGACAGAATTGCGCAGGCGGGCGGGGGGGGGGGCAACAGGCCGGCGGGCAATGTGGCCGCGCGGCCGCCGGGGCGCTGAGACGCGGAGTGGGCCGCGCGGACATCGGCGGCAGAAACGGCGACGCGCGGGCTTCCGAGGAGAGGGGGCGCGCGGGTTCGCGGCGGCTGAACGCGCCGAGCGACTCGCAGTCGCCCCCGGCGAGGCGCCGAAGGGGCGCGGCCATCTAGACCAACTCGCGCGGCGCGGCGCGCGACCAGAAGCGCGGACTCGGAGGGGCGGGGGGGGGGGCGGGGGCTCTGCGACAATGTCCGCGACGGCCGCAGGCCGCGCGGCGAATGTGCGGGCGGGGGGCGCGCTGCGCCGAATTCATCATCGGGGGCCGGGCGAATCGCGCGCCCCCCCCGCGGGCGGCGGGCGCGGCGTCGACGGCTGGGAATGGCGAGAGAGCCCGGGGGGGGGGGAGGCGCACAGCGCCGAAGCGCTCAGCCTTGCAGCGGGCTCGACGCGCTCCGCGCGAGGCGGCCGACATCAGTCGGAGGCGCGCCGCGCGCGCGAGACGTCGGGCGCGCAAAATTGCACGCGCAAGTCGCCCGCGCGAACTCTGTCGACTCCGAAATTTTGGCACGGCGATCCGCCGCGGCCGCGGCGCCGCGCGGCCAGACAACGCGCCGCCCAGATCGCCGATCCGACCACGACATGGCGTCGAGGCGCAGAGGCCTGCACGACCAGGCACGCGGGCGCGGGCCCAGAGGCCCAGCGGCGAGGTCACCTCGCGCCTAAGAGCCTCATACGCGGGCAAGAAATTCGGCCAACGCGCGCCTGCGCCGCCCGCGCCCAAGACCCCGCTTCGCTCGCGAAACCCCCGCGGCCCTTCCATTTGCGCCTAGAAGCCGATCGGCAATTGCCCGGGGCCCCCGCCGCCCGCGAGCAAGGGGGGCCGGCGGCGAAGTCGCGCGGCTGAACGGCGGCGCCATCGGCCATCTGCCCGCTCGCCGAGCGGAGCACGGCGGCGCTCAGCGCGCGCCGCTTCAGCGGCTGCGCCCCCGCGCGCAAGCCTGGCTCGCAGACGGCGCCGCCACCCGACCGCGCGGCCCGACTGCGCGATGGGCCTCGCCGCGCGCCGCTGCGCGATCAGATTCGACGCGCGGGGCCCGAGAACGCGCGGCCTCGCGACGCGTGGCCCAGAGAGCCTGGCCGCGCGCTGCCCCTGGGCCGCCATCTTTCCCGGGGGTGGGACGGAACACGGGCGGGCGGTGATAGATCAGCACGCGCGCCAAGACGCGCCCAGAGCAACAAGGCAGGCGCGCAAAGTGGGGACTGCATTGCCACGAGCATTGCCAGCACTAGCACATTGGCGCTTGAACAGACCAACACAATCGCTCGTGCAAACCAAAAGCGTTACATATGCGCTGACTTTCGAAGAGACATCATAGTGGGAACCGCGCCCCCAACATCGCAAACCTGAATCTTCATGTTTCCCGAATTTCACAATGAGGCCCAGACCAGCATCCCCTGCACTCCAGACTCTAGACACGCTCGTAAGCAGACACCCATCCAATCGCAATTTTTCACCTCGTCACACACTCAGTGTTCACTGACGCCGTAATCGACAGAGACTGTCCTTATGGAGTCGCTGAAGTGTCATACCAACACTCCCGACGGCTAGAACATCATGTATGCGTAAAACTCGAATTCCGAAACGCCTTTGCTGAGAGGAACTACGTTTGGGACTTCGGGCCCCTGAGACGAAAGTCATAAACAAGCCTCGTCTTGGAGGTCGGATTGCGGCGGCAAAGAGAAAGAGAGAGAGAGAAAGAGAAAACAACAACAACGAAAAGAAACCAAACAAAAAATAGTGTGAGAGAGAGAGAGAGAGACAAGCCGACTGACATATGCATTGACACACACACACAGTGTCACTTCGTGTTTCTGGATTGCATACAGATATACACATGCATAGTGCATACAGGTGTACCCACGCACGGGGTCAGAAGCTTGCCATTCCAAGCTGCTGAAGAAAACACAGGTGCGAAACGTGTGGGGGGAGGCGAAAGGTGAGGGTGTGTGTGTGTGTGTGTGCGCGTGTGGGTCAACCGCGCTACGCTAAGATACCCCCGATCGGCCAAAAGGCCGTGCCAATCTAAGACTCGGGGGGAAATGTGGCCCCGTGCCTCCGGTACCCAGGCAAGTATGCGATCGTCTGCTATTAGAAGCGGGAAGAAGCGGAAGGGGGCGGAGAGGGAGAGAACCGGAATGCACTCTCAGGTCTCGCTCGTGGGGACCTTCATAGAGAACGCAATAGTGCACCGACACCGATGTTTGCCGAACCTATCCTGGGCCTGGACTAGCCTGGACTGGCCAAGACTTGTCTCTTCGTGCGTTTGGAATTCTCAGGATAGGCGGCCACATGTGAACCCCACCCCAACTCCCCCTTTGGAATCGTGGGGGCGGGGGGTCGGATTCACGTGTGGCCAACGAGGGGAAAGGTGAAAACACAGAGAGAGAACTGGACCAGCAGCGGGAGCAACAGGAAGATGAAGGATGAGGGCGTCCACTGTTAGACCCGCCCAGCGGGCAAGCCTGCGCAGGTGAGGTGACCGACACCAGCGGGTAGCTCGGCCGCTCAGCGGAACATGTCACCTGCACTTGGGGCGCTCATGTAAACACATCGCTGCCTCCTTCGAAATCCATCCCCTCCACCCGTCCTCGTCCTGTCCCAGACCCCTCCCCCTTCATCCTCCAAAAGACAAAACTTGGGCCACTTGCGACTTCCATACAAAGCTCCGTGGATACACCCCTGACAGGCTGACTTGCGCATGAATCGCCATGACAACGCAGCATTGAACATCGAGAGGGACGCCATGAGCACAGGAGAAATGCAGAGCGACCTAACAAGAGAGAACTCACCGCATGCACCTCGCCCGAGGGGAGACGAACGTGTACCCATACCGTTCCTCCCAAAACCTCTCCTGGGGCGCTCTCTGCCAAGGATTCGAGGCGGACACAGCCGTAGCGACGAAGGACGGGCAACGACATCCCCGAACACCCGGCTGCTCCAATTTTTCCGATGCGTCGGTCCCGGAGGCCTGGACCACTTCCCCAAAACAGGTTATTGACGGTCCCGAACACGGCCAAAAACCGCCCGCTCCATTTTTGGGGGAGCGTCGGATCTCTGGAATCGGTACTTTTTCCTCCTCGGAACCCGTGCGACCCCACTCAGTGGAGTGAGAGGCACGGCCAGCCAGGCCACAAAAAGCCCACGAGCATATCACACGCATATACACAAACACACACACACACACACACACGCGCGCACGCATGCAGGAACGCACGCACGCGCACGCGCACGCGCACGCGCACGCGCACGCGCACGCGCACGCGCACGCGCACGCGCACGCGCACGCGCACGCGCACGCGCACGCGCACGCGCACGCGCAGCAGGGGCAGGCAACTCCTCGACCTGTTGCAGCTTCGCACGAAAGGCCGACCGCAACTGATGCTTCCCGATGTCGATGCTCCCTCTCTCTTGGCCACCGCAATGAGCTTCCCGTCCCAATCGGGAAAAAACCATTGAACCCCTCCGGCGTGGGCAGCTGTGCTGGTTGTGCTCTGGTGGGGGCGACGGCCTCCGCGCGTTCCTTCTCGAGCCTCTTGGTGAGGCGCCGTTCCCCTTCGAGTGCCTTCTGGTGTCCATCGATGTGTTCCTCGGTCTCTTGTGCACGTGCTCTGGCGGTGTCAAATTCACGTGCCTTGTTGGCCGCCGTCAGCTCGGCACGCCATGCAAAGGATACTGGGTGGAAAGGCATCGCCCCTCTTAGATTTGACCCCCTCCAAAACTGACTTGAGCTGCGAGACATGATTTGCGTCGAATTGATCCGAAAACGTGTTGCTGGCCATCGGATCGGAAACTACACCGATAAAGACTCGGAAACATCGAATCGGAACTGGAATCGGCAACCGAAGTCGAAGTGGAAATCTGGGCCTGCGCGGGGGCGCCCGAACCGGACCGCCCAAAACCAGACCGCCGCTCGGCCACCGACCCGAACTGGCCGACCCGACCCAGACTCGCCAAACCGAACCGACCGAAACCGGACCGCCGCGAAACCGAACCGCTGCAAGTGAACCCGCGCGCCGCCGAACCCGCCCGATACGGACTCTTCCTGCCATAGGGAGGGCGCTCCCGCTCGAGACTTCCTCGCTATTCAGTGTTTGACGAGGTTCCCGCTCTAGACTTCTTTGATATGAATCAGCGAGTGCGGAGTGCGTGTGGATGTGAGAGTGTGATGATGATAATATGTGGTCATGATGGGATTGTGATAGAAGAGGTGATGGCGGTGCGATGATGATGGCGTATGTGAAGAGAGATGAGGAGGAGAGGGGGCGGGGTGAGGAGGTGAGGATTGCGCGCGGTGTCCAGAGAAAACAAGAACCCCACTTAGAATGTTGAGAGAAAAACGCCGCATTAGGATGCGGCGTCAGACAATTTATGTTTTTACTGAGAATACTACTCAAGCTGTTGCAGATCCGGAACCGGACCTCAGTGCTCGTAAAAAAACAAACCGAAGGACGACATCAAACAAGAACAAAGCAGTGATAGGGCAACGAAATGAAACGAAGGGACTCTTTGCCGTCTACGACGCAACACGCGTGGCAGGGAATCGACGCGGCGCACGTCGCGCGCGGCGCTGCGAAACGTCGCTGTCGCCATAACGCTGCCCGCATTGTTTCTGCGAGTTCCGCTCCAGCTCTTGGCGCGGCCACCTTTATTCCGCATGCATGTGCACTCCCATTTTCCGCTCCCGTGCTTTGGCGCTAATGGAGCTCATAGAGTCTCAGGAGTCGAGCCTCCCGCGCAAAGAGAACTACCGAGACTTTTAGCAGGCGCCCTCGATGTCCCGAAGAAGCACCCAAGAAATCTAACAGAGGTTTATAAACGGCTCCGTAGGTGCTAAAAGGAGGCCTCCAGCCTGCCTCCATATGAGGCCCCCGAGAAGCATCCAAAGGGGACCCCAACAAGCATACATGAAGCCGCTGGCGTACATCCCAGGCATGGTGGCGGCATGGTCCTCTGGCCACTAGATATCAAGAACCATCAAGGAGACAACATCGACGCTGTGTCGAACCAACGCGCACACACAAACACACACACACACTCACAAACCGGCACGTGCGCGTGCACAGTCTTGCATGTAGTGCGCGACAACGCAGCCCCATGGCGGGACCAGAACAGCTGACGTGAGGAGATCACAGCGTGGTGGACCCGCCGAAATGACAACGCATTGGCCACGCGCCGACACACGCTTCTTCCTCCTCCGCTCGGAGATCGACTGACCCGGGTCAATCCAAACCCAGGCCAGTCGGGCGTTGCACTGTCCTGCAAGACCCTGCATGATCCTCCCTGATCCTGAACCCAAGGCCGGGTCAGTGAGTGCGACCCTGGCCCTGCAGGATCCTGCAAAATCCGGCGCTCTGACTGACCCCTGTTTGCATGGACCCCCGTCTCTTGAGCCCCGACCCGCGGCGACGAAGCATCGGCCGGTCCCCGAGCGCCGGGGTGCGTCAGCTCAAGCCGACAGCGACAGACCTTCGCACACCTCGCTCGTCAGCAGGACGGAGCGCGGCATCTCGCTTGGTCAGAGGAAGAGGATAGCACGCGCACACGTGGCGATGAAGCGAGGAAGAGGATAGCACACGCACGCGCACGCACATGCAGCAGGATTCTGCAACGCACAAGCGGGGAAGGGGATAGCACACGCACACGCACGCGCGGCGCACACGCACCAACACGCCAACGCCACTGCCCCGCGGCCCCTGCGGCACCGCTGCGGACTGCCAGGAGCCGGGCACCGTCCTCGCCTGCGCCGCGGGTGGGGCGCACCGACTCTCTCATCCGCTCCTGGCCCAACACGCTCAGACGCCAAGGCAAGATGGGGTGAAGGAACGAGCACGAGTGGCAACCTCAGAAAGCCGAGGAGGATGAAGAGGACGAGGAGGACCAGGAAGAGGAGGAGAAGGGGGACGAGGAGGAGGAGGAGACGACGAGGCAGGGGGAAGGATAGGAGCAAGAAGGAATGAGGGGGGCTGCCGTCTCGAGACTTACCTTGCGTGGGGACGGAAACGAGAACCCGGGATTCCCAAGTCCGAGGTTCGTGGCCATGGCTCCCACTCTGTGCCAGACTCTCGGAGTCGAACTGCTCAAAATGGGCACCCAGAGCAGTTAACCGCTTCTCTCGAAGGGACTTAAATGAGGCCGTGGGCTGCTGCTCGTAGGCCGCGGGGTCCAGAACTTGCCCCCGAAGACCCCAGAACAACTACGTCGGGGTTCGTGCAGCTGGTTTTTGACACCTCGTGGAACGCTCATGCGGCTTTCCCCTGAGGCCGGAGCTTTTGATGTCGGCCGACGCTGGGCCACTGGCGGTGTTCAACCTTGAACGCCCACGCCTTGGTCGCCGCCGAGTCGCCACGACACGAACAAACAGTACGGTCGGACCTAGGACAAAAAAACATCCTTCAAGAACATGAGATCCTCCGCTGGCCAAAGCACAAAAAACATTCGAGGGTACCCTCCCCCAGCATGCACGAGAACGTCCAACAAACACGAAAAACATGAGGGTCCTCTCCCCGAGCCAACCTCGATCTGATACTTCGGTCCGACCGTACCGCGGGCCCCCTGTGCTTCCGGGGCTTGGGGAGTGGATGAAGAGGGAGAGGAGAAGGGAGAGGGAGAGGACAGCAGAAAGGTGCTACTCTTGGCGGGGGGAAGCATGTACATGACAGCACCAACATCTCAGCGTTCGAAGACTGTGCTGTTTCGTTCGAGCGGTTCTTGGCCATACTTAGCGCTTTGAGATGGCTGTTATGGGTGGGATTTGGAGAAAAAGAGAGAGAGATGAAGAGACCGAGAAAGAGAGAGAGTGAGAGAGCGGCTCAGCCAGAACAGATGTAGTCATACCAGCTCAACAGATGTGCCCTTGCAAGGGGTTGCACACCTCGCGGAGGAGATGATTAGGGCGAGAGGGAGGGCGGGCACGATACCTAGATGTGTGTGTGAGTGAGTGAATGAGAACATCGAATAAGCAGAACAGAACACGGAGAGAGAGAGAGAGAAAGAGAGAGACGGAGAGAAAAAGAGCGAGAGAGAGAGAGAGACAAAAACAAACAAGAGAGAGAGAGAGACAGAGAGAGAAACACAACTATACATAGAGAAAGGGGGACATCCGAGAGAGGGAGAGAGATTCATAGAAGAGAAACCGCAGTGAAAACACGTAAGCATGAGTATGTGCGCAATGGTAGGTACGCCCTCGACTTCGACAGTAAACACGCCGGCAGCAACAACATGCAAAATGAACAGAAGGGCAGGAGGTTGAGGGGAGCGGAGGAAGGATTGGGAATGTGAGGAAGGGGAGGAGGGGGAACGGGAGAGGGGAGGAGGGCATGTGCGCGCAACACCTGACGCCCTATCGCTCCATCCCATCCCTTCAAATTGCGCGCAAAATGTTCCGATCCGTCATCCCATCTGTCGAATCGGGCCTTGATCCTTGAACTTCATTTGCAGCGCAAGGGGGCCATGGGCCAGACGAGGAATGGAGGAAGGGCGGTGAGGAGGACGACGGGGGGGGAAGAGGAACTCAATAATAACGACCAGGAAGAGCAGGAGGACGACGACAACGACGAGGACCAGGACGACGACGAGGATGCCATTGACGAGGGGGAGGGGCGGAGGGGGAAGCGACCGACCCGCAGACGGCTCAAACATGCATTGATGATGCTCCTCTTATCGCGCGCCCCTCGGCAGCGTGATACTATTCCACGGGTGGTCAGGACAACGCGCTTGCAAGCAGAGCGTCAAAAAGTCGCCGAAGCGACAACCGCTCTGTTGAGAATCGGAACGGCACCGAAACGCTGGGAACCTCCCCAAATCTAAGCCAGCATGGCCGCCGTCTCGGGAGGAAGAGGAGGGAGGGGAGAAGGGAGGAGGGTGGAGGCGGGGTTGAAAAAAACAGGGAGTCGCGAAGCGAACAGGGGGAAGCGAGAGGGAGAGGGAGGAGGGAGGATTGATGGGGGAAGAACTGAGGGGGGAGGGGGGAGGGGGGAGGAGGGATGGGGAAGGGAGGGACGGAGGAGGAGGAAAGGATGGAGGGACGGAGGTAGAAGGGAGGGAAAGGGAACGGGGAAGTTAGAGGGAAGGAAAGAAGAGAGAAGGAAGGTGAAGGACAGAGTGAAAGAAGAACGGAAGAAGAACGGATAAGAATGGTGGAACAGCAATTCAATCCGCCACCGTGCCGCGAAGCACTGAGTGGAGTGTCCCCAAGTCCCTGCAAACTCTCTGTCTTGAATGTTGTTCATTGGCACAGACCCCGGAATGGCTGGGCACTTGTTGCTGCCAGGGTGCGTCGCGTGACTTGTCCACAGGGCTTGGGAGTCCAGTTGAGAATCAAACCCTCCAGCATGGCTCAAGATGATATCAGAACCCGTCCTGGAGTCTTCTTGGAAACCTCTTGGGTCGTCTTGGAGGCCCTCGCAGCCAGGGTCGTCTTGGAGGCCCTCGCAGCCAGCCGAACAAAAGAAAAAACAAATGGCATCAAAAAGCTATACTGCGTGCTATATTGGCACGCTCGGCTTTTCGGTCTTAAGAGAAACCAAGACCGCCCAAGAAGCCCCCCATCTCTCACCCCAATACGGCCTCCGAGGCCGACAAAGGGCCCCCGAAGTCGCCAAGACGGCCGTAAGAAAGAAGGGACGAACGGACATACCCGGCCCTTCCCCCCCAAGATGGCCACCGCCACAAGAGATCTCCAAGAAGCCCCCAAGAGGCCGCCAAGGGGCTTGAAGGCCCCCAAGAGGCCTTCCTAAAGACCCCAAGAGGCCGGTCCACAAGGTCTCTAGGCACGGTGGCGGGATGGGCCGAGAGCCTCTCGATCCGCCGCTTCCTTCTGCTTGCAAACAAATGCCTGGCGTGCCGAATTGTCGGGTAAACTGTTTGGCTCTTCCGATAGGTTCCCGATGGTCTTCGGCCGACCCCGCCGGCCCCGAACGAACCGTGAATCAAGAGAATTGTCTTCAAGATGCCCAAGGTGGTCCAACAGACGGACTCCAGGACGATCCCACGACGCCTCCAAGATGGCGACGTTAGCCCCAAAAGAGGCCAAGATGGCCCCAAGAGGCCTTCGAGACGGCTCGAGAAGACCCCAAGACGACCCGATAAGACCTCAAGACGGCCCGAAGGACCCCCCCGATACGGCCGCAAAGGGTTCCAAAAGGCCTTCTAGAAGAGCCACAAGAGGCCAGACGGCCCAGCCTCCAAGATAGCCCCAAGACAGACCCAGAATCCTCCAGGAAAGTTCCAGGACAAGCCTGAAGGACCCCAAGACAGTTCACGGCTCACGAGGTGCGGGATGTAGTGCACACGTACCCTGCTCGCACTGCTGCAGGTCCTTAGTGGGAATGCACCCCAGAGCGTTACCGCACTTGCCAGATCAGGCATTTCAAACTATTGCTCAAATTGGTTGGCCTGAGGTCAGAAGGGTGGCCTGAGAGGAGGATGGTCAACGAAATGGTGCGGCGTGCCAAGCCAGAAGGCGGCACGCGTCTCATTGCCCTTCTCAATGTGTGTTGCAGGATCTGGGGTAAAATCAGACAGTCGCTCACTTTTGCTAGACCGGATGCCCACAACTGCTCGGAGATGAGGGGTACCAGGCGTCGTCGCAGATCCACTGACAGTGTTGTAGATCACAGCATTGTTGCTGAAATGGCTGGGTCGGTTGGTGATGTTTCGCTTTCGGTGTCACGTGATATGGTCAAGCGTGTCGAGGTGAGATCTTCAGGGCAACTCTTGACCCAGACAAAAGCGCTAAATTATTCTGCCAGGTTGGCTTGGATGCGTGTGGATGTGTGCAGGCAACCACGGCGTCTTCAAACTTATGACGTGGGGAAACACCACAGCATATTCAGTGTAATCGGTCTCGGAGGGTGGAAAAAGAACAGCCACAGGAACTTATGTGTGCCCAGATGGCCCCGAGATCGCCAAGAGGCCCTCAAGAGTCCCTCGGAGGAGTGCCCCCAAAACAAACCTCACAGGCCTCAGCATGGCTCCCAGATTGCCCAAGGTGGTGCCCCCCTGGGCCCCCAAAATTGCGCAAAGACGCCCTTCAGACCAGGCCCCGTGACAGATAACCCCCCAAGGGCGACAAGGTGTCCATCGGATCGCCTTAACATGCCCCAAGAGATGCCACGATTGTCTCAACAAGGTCCAGACATGGCCCCAAACTGGCTCAAGTACACTAGAAACTCGACCACAAGAAACCTTCAACAAGAATCACAAGAAGCCTAACCCTGAGATCCCAGGACGTCCATTGATTTTTGGTGTGGGAACGCAACGCTCTCCATAGCAAAACCATGGGAACACAAGAAAACAAGGGCACCCTCGAGGGAAGCAGAGCGTTTCTTGGCATGGGCTTCCACTATAGCTCAAGCACACCACGAGAACATTGGCAAGGGGCTTGGGCGGCAGGCAGCGCAGCCCCCCGCAGATAAAAGCTCACAAACAGCGCATACCAACGAAATGCGTGCAAGCATGAATACATCACTCTATCAAGCGGCCGCCCAACCAAGAGGCCCCCAAGGGGCCCCAAGAGAGCCCCCAAGAAGCCCCGAGAGGCCCCCAAGAGGCTCCCCAGAGGCCCCAACGAGGCTCCCAAGAGGTCCCTAAACTTTCCCCAGAGGCCTCGGGGAGCGCTTCGAAGAGACCCAAAGAAGCATCCATGAGGACTCTGACCCACGTCAACGATGTCGTCGTCGTCGCCGCCGTTGTCGTCGTTCCCTTGAGCGCGTTCATTTATGTTCGGTGATGACGGGCG